GGAGGGAGAAAAAGAGAGAAGGGGCGGGGGATGCCTGAAACTAGTCCAGGTCTTGCAGGGTCAAGACGGCATGCTTCAACCCCCCAAGGACGGTCTTAGGATTTGCAAATTTATTTCTATGAAAATCACTGCGAAGATAAATAAATTCAATCACTCTCAGTTGTACTTTTAATGAACTGTCATGTTGGGGAAGTGATTGCAAATTGCATATAAAAAGAGATTATTCAGAAAAAAAAAATCAGGGAGGCAATGATTAAACGTTGAAAATGCAGACTGCTTTGGAAAAGCTGGGTTATAAGGTCAAGATGCCTCCTGGAGAAAAGGTTGGCCCATTTAGTATCATCCAGCCATCCATTCGTGCATCAGGTTCACCTTGATGGAGCATCTGTTATGTGCCAGGACTGTGCTGAGAGCTCTCTGTGAGACTCTCCCAGCCACCCAGTGCCAGAGGTGTGGTTACGATCCCCACTTTAGAAATGCATCAGCTGAGGCTAGAGTGTTTAAGTGGCTGGATTGAGGTAGCACATTTAGGAAGTGGCCTCCAACTTCCCCTTAAGCCCTGATTTTGTGCCAAGCTCTGGAGACTTAGAGATGAATAAGGCAGGGCCCCACCCTTGAGAAGCTCGCAGTCTAATCAGCCATGTATACAAATAAAAGGGTAATGTGCTAATTAGACCGATAGACCTGATGTCTTCTGGACGTCCTTCCAGACATCGTTCGGACAAAGGCACGGTGGCGGGGGCCGAGGCAGAGGCGGTTTGGGGTAATCAGGCAGACAGGCAGAGGCAGTTAGGGGTGATCAGGCAGGCAGGCAAAGGCAGTTAGGGGTGACCAGGTAGGCAGGCAAGTGATTAGGGGCAATACGGCGTGATCAGGCAGGCAGAGGCAGTTAGGAGCGATCAGGCAGGCAGGAGAGCAGTTAGGAGCCAACTGTCCTGGATTGCGAGAGGGATGTCCTGGATTAGAAAGGGTATAGGCCAGGCTGAGGGACCACTCCCCAACACCACCACCACTTGTGCACAAATTTTGTGCACCGGGCCTCTAGTCTATAATAATAAAAGGGTAATATGGTAATCAGACCAGACATCCTTCCGGACGTCATTCTGGATGTCCTTCCTAACAAAGCCGGGGCCAGAGGGAAGCCAGCCCAGGTCCCGGCTGCCTGCCAGTGGCTGGAGGAGGGAAGCAGCCTGGGTCCTGGGTGCTGGAGGGAAGCCAGTGCTGGCAGCTGGGGGAAGGAAGGCCTACTCTTGCACGAATTTTTGTGCATCGGGCCTCTAGTGAATTTATAAATTAGGAGCAAGAGATCATCCCTTCTAGTGATTTTACATTCTTTTTTAAGCCAAGGACACTTTCTCCTTAAAATCACAAGTGAGGCACCATCATACACAACAGATAAAAAAGTAACTTGCTTCTGGCTAAAGGTGGAAGAGGGATTCCCTCCTCTCCTGTGGCTGCCAGTGGATACCCTGCAGCAGGAACTGCCAGCCCAACTTGAAACCAACTGTCTCATTTACAGATGGGACCACAGAGGTCAGAGAGGAAGGGAATTGTCAAGATCACTAGGACTGGAGTTCTGGCCTGTGGACTCCTGGTTTGGGGCTCTTTGCTCTGCATTAGTGCCCCTAGGATACCAGTGTCTGGGTGCTCACTCCAATGACTGGACACAGCTCCTGGGCTGCCCAGCACTGGCCACACCCTGGTGAATTTGGGGCTTTCAGGCCAACTCTTCCAGGTGCCAGAGAAAACAGAGTCTAAGAGCCCCTTGGAGGAAAGGTGAGAATTTTCCAAAGAACCGTTTCTACTAGACCCCCAAACACCAGGGGTGCGAGCAGAAAGGGCCATGGCCTGGGAGTCACCAGACCTCAGTCGGATGCCCAGCTCTCTGACCAGGACTAGGATCTAGTCTGTGTTCCTTCCTCAGTTTCCCCGTCTGTAAAATGAGGTGGTTGGATTACAATGAACTGTCCAGAATGGGCAAATGGGGAGTCTAGAACATTCCGGGCCATGCCACTCCTGGGTCTGTGACAACCTAGACTCCAATCAGTCAACAGTGGCTGTAACACCACCCCTGCCCCTCCTGAGGCTTGCTGACCCTGTTCGTGCCCCCCTCCCATCTTCTCCCTTTCCCAGTCCCTCCCCTCTTCATCCCCTCTTCTCTCAGTTTCCTTTCTTGCTTTTATCAATGAATAGCAAAAGGGATCATAGAGGCCATTTGTCCAAGCTCCTCGTTGTACAGGTGGAGACACAGGCCAGAGAAGGAAGTGACTTCCCCAAGGTCACCTGTGGGAGAGAGGCCCGCTCTCTGCAGCAGGGATCACTTCTCCCGCCCAGGACTGGACTCTTGTGGCTGGAAACTTCTGACAAATAGGACGTTTGCCTAATACACTTAGAATCATGTTTCCCAATTGTGGGATAGAAGAGTTCTTCAAGGAGATTTAGGGCCAGGCAGCCAGAGATCTTCAGAACCCCACTGACCTCCCCAGGAGTCGGAGCTGGGAGCTCCCTGTTCTCTTTCCATCCCTTTGATCACAATGTGGGAGTCCTGGTTTGTTGCTAATATATCTCTAACACCCTTCTAGCCCTTGCTCATCTCCCCTTTCAATAGAGAGTGGGCTCCAGCTCAGCACCTTCCTTAAGCAGTATTATCTTGCGGGAATATATATATATTTTTAAATTGTGGTTAAATATACATTGCTAGAATTTAATAACACTTTTATGTTCATTGTATTTATTTTATGGGTGCCTTCTATTTATAGTGATGCGATTCTGGTTTTCCATTTATGGTAATGATATAGCGTTTCTTTGTAAAAACAAGCACATTGAAGTAAAACAATAACAAAGCAAGAGGTGATTTAAAGAAAGCTATTAAGCAAACAGTTCTAGCTGGTGTGCAGATATGGCCAGAATCTCCATGGTGGCAGGGGAATGGCTGGGGTCTGGGGGACTTGGACTTGGAACCGGAGCTAAATCTTCTCAGCTGGATGTCCGAGTGGTCCAGTTGGCCTGCTGGGTCCTCATCTCCTGCATTCTCTCCCCCCACCTTCCTCCTGCCTGCTTTTGACCAACCCCCCAGACCCTCAGAAACTCACTTCCTCCCTCCTTCCCATTCCATCCCCCCCTCCCTCCCTCCGACTTTATCTGGGCTCCACCTCCGAGGTCCCAGCACCTTCACTGTAGGCTCATGCTCTTTTCCTCTTTAAATTTATGTGCGCCTTGAGTCCAGAGAGGCCCACACAGATAGCCTCTTCCAACAGCATTCCGTAAACGCAGGGCCTGTGGGGCTTCTCAGCTCAAAGGGTCAGCCTCTCTCTCAACCCTGTTTTGGCAGCTGAAAGCATGAGTGTGGAGCCTGAGGCCCTTTAGTGTTTTCCCTGTCCTTATGTTACAGAACTTGAACTATTAGAGATTCCCGCCCCCGCTTGGGGAAGCGTAGCTCATTTTAGGTCCCTTTAAAAATTGCGGATCCCATGTGCCCCCCCCTTTTTTCTCCCAGCCACATCTCTACTCTATTAGCCCCTCCTCAGTTTACCCAGTGACTCCGTGAAATGGCTGAAAGGACCAGACATCCTTGAAGTCCTTAGAGCAGTGGTTTTCAACCTTCTGGCCCTTTAAATACAGTTCCTCAAGTTGTGACCCAACCATAAAATTATTTTGTTGCTACTTCATAACTGTCATGTTGCTACTGTTATGAATCATAATGTAAATATCTGATATGCAGGATGGTCTTAGGCGACCCCTGTGAAAGGGTTATTTGACTGCGAAAGGGGTCGCGACCCACAGGTTGAGAACTGCTGCCTTATGAGGGATGTATCCTTTTCCTGGAATGTGGGCAAGCAAAGGCAGCAACTTCCTGCCCCTTGAAACTCTGCCTGTGACCTGATAGCACCAACATTCATATCCAAGACTGGAGTAGTCAAGTCCTATCAGTCACTCACTCTTTAGTGAGAATCAGTTGACCACAGGGCCTCCTACAGAGCTTGTGTGCTTGAATGTTCAGGGCCAGCAAGTATGGGTATGGGTGCTTCAGGGAGGGGATTAAAAAAAAAAAAGCTGCCCAGGGAAGAAGAGTAGAGGAGTGGACAACCTGAGACCTTCTCTGGGGTTTAGCAAACACTTTCACTTGCGCTGTCAGCTTTGATCTGCTTGCTTACCCATTTCGTCTGGGGCAAGTGGGTGGGTAGCCGCTTTACAGAGGAGGTTCAGAAGTTCCCTGTCTCTGTGAAGTCATGTGTCAGGGGCTGAGGAGGGGGCGTGAGGCTGTGGCAGCAGCACAGAGATGAAAAGACAAGTCCTGACATTGGAGACACAGATCTGGCCTCTTACAATCAAGTCTTTGCATCTGGTCTAGGGTCAGCCCTTCCCTGCTGCAACCCCTCCAGGGGTCTCTATTATCTGCCACAGCCTAATAGCAACCCAGGAGGGGGACCACCTGGCTTTCAGCAGGTACTCCCCGGGCATCAGAAGCTTAGGAGCAGGTCCGGATGGAGGGGTCACTCCCCCCAGCCCTGCAGCTGGATCACGGTGGGGCAACGTAAAGTTCTCTGGAATAAATACCCCACGTCTAGCGTACCACTCTGCCCACTTCCACAGCGGAAGTGGGTCCATAAGCAGAGAGGGGAGGCGCGCAGGGGGCGAAGTAAGAGGAGAAGGGCAGAAGTTGGCCCCAGGGCCCCCAGCAAGGCCTGGATGCTGGACTGAAGGCGGAGACCAAGGGAGGGAGGTGGCGAGGGGCAGCCTGCGAAGGAGACCTGTGCTCCTGGCGGCCGCGGAGGCAGCAGTAGCGGCGACTGGAGACTGAAAGGGAGGAGGTTTGGGGAGGGGAGGGAGCGCGGGAGAGAGGGAGGGAC